TCATCTCGAGCTGTTGCCAACTCTCTGCTGCTCCACATGCCTTTCCCCTTTCGTCTGCCACATCAGCAGCAGCGTCAGCACATGGAGCTCAGCATCGGAAGTGTGCATCGGCGCTGCATGGTGTAGTCACTCTACAGGGAATGCTTGTGCCCTTGTGGCTGTTGCCAGAGCTGCATTCAAAGTACCGTAAAGGCTAGCGCTTGTTTGCAGCAACTCCTGCTAGCAAATGACCACGTGCATATTGAGTACATCTTATTTACAAATCGACTTTGTTTTTGGAGATAGAAACCATCGCGTGTAGCTGTTGGTATCATGGCATTGAGATCAGTAACGCGTAAAATGCAGGTTGCTTCAAATTCCTAGATTCGCTCTCCAGCATGGTCATTCTCCCTTCCATCGCGCCCCTTCCCATCGCGCCCGCGACACATCCGCACTGCATTGCACGCTCCTCCGTCGCCCACACGCTCGCGTGACTTCAGGGGAGTCTCTTCGCCGCTTGCCCCACGTCTCCGCCACTCCGCCCCCATGTCCCCCTCGCTGCGCGCGCATTTGCCGTGCGCCGCAGCCCCCTCACGCGCATGTCTCCCCGCTCCCCTTCCCTCCGCTTGTCCCCTCCCTGCGCGCGGAAGGCGCGTGGCGGCACCTGCTCTGCTGCCGGCCAATTCCCGCACCCCCGGCTTCCACAATGAACGCTCCTCTCGATATAGACCCAAACCACCGCATTTCACGCCGCGATCGTCGCTAGACTCCCCGCCTCCTGAAGCGCAAGCGGAAACACCGCCCGAATCCCCGCTCCCCCCCGCCGCCGAACCTCCCCGCGTTCAGCCCCGTCCCACGTGGCTAGAGTATGACGTGGCGCTATACGACAAAGACCTGCCACGTGCCCTTTCCATCGCCACCGCGCTGGCCCCTCGAAGGCCGGCAGGCGAAGCCACTCGGGAAAGCGCCGGATTCCTGGATCTACCCGCGGAGACGGGGGGAATGGTGGCGCAGGGGGGACTGGGGCAGGCGCAACTGGAGGGCGGGGCGGCGGTTACGGGGGAGGAGGGGGGGGAGGAGGGGGAGGAAGGGGAGGAGGGGGAGGTGGAGCGGCAGCGGCGGTGGCTGCGGCTGCTGGAGTTGGGGAAGGCGGAGAGCGACCTGCGCGTGGTGGGGCGCACGTACGAATGGCTGCGCAGCGAGGGGCTCCTGAGGAACTTCGGACGGTTCCAAACCAGCAGTGAGTGGTGGGGAGTCAAGGGGCAGTGAGTGCAGTGAGGCGCTTTCACAGTGGAGCCCCCACACAGCGCTCCGCCTAAAGGAAGGAAAGGAGAGAGCTGAGCCACGCAGTACCACACAGTGCCCGTCTCTCCTTTCCTGCCCTGCCCCCTCCACCCCCTCTCTCTCCCCCCCAACGTGGTGCCACAGTACTGGAGGGCGTGCCTCGCGTCGTCACTCCCAAGGTGCTCAGAGACCGATCGGGCCTCCAAGGTGGGCCGCCCTGCACTCCGCCTGTGCGCCCGTGCGCTCCGTCTTTCCTCGCGCTCATTCATCCCGAGTCATCCATGCTGCCTACTCCCCCCTGCTCGTCACTGCTCTCTCTCTCACTCCTTCCCCCGCATCCCATTCAAGCCTCCCCGTTGGGCCCTCTCATTCTCACAACCTGCCATGCTGCTTTCCCCCTCCTCTCCCCTCACCACCACACTTCCACATCCCCATTCCTTCCGCCCCCCTCCCCCTCCCCCCCCCCTTCTCCCCCAGCGGCGAACCTGGCCCCGCAGAAGTGGGGCACGTCCACACCGTGGCTGCCCGTCGCGCTCTTCGCAGCCTTCTCCGCGCTGGTGGACGTCGGGGTGGACCTGCGCCCGCTCGCCATCATCTCGCTTGGCCTCGCCATGGGCGACGCCATGTACCTGGGGGGGGCGGGCGCGGGGCAGGTGCTGATGCTGCTGTGGGCGCCGTTCAGGGAGCGTGTGCTGGTGCACGAGGCGGGGCACGTCGTGGCGGGTGGGTGTGGGGCGTGTGAATGGCGCGGGCATGTGATGTGGGTGGGGGCCATGGAGATGGGTATTTCGGGACTGGACGGCGCCTCATTGCCTCAAAACACTTGCCTTTCTCCAGCCCCCCACCCGCACACAACCACCGCAACCCACCCCCCTTCCCCTGGCAGCGTATCTTCTAGGGTGCCCCGTGCGCGGGGTGCTCCTGGACGCGTTTGAGGCGATGCGGGTGGGCGTGCGCGGGCAGGCGGGGACGCAGTTCTGGGACGAGCAGCTCGAGGACGAGCTCCGCGCCGGCCAGCTCTCCTCTGCCTCCGTCGACCGGTGCGCCACCCCCCTGCACCCCGCTCCCGCTGCTCTCTCCTGATTTTATCCGCTCTCCCTCTCGCCTGTCCACCTGCTCGTTTCTCCCTCATTCCCTCGCAATCTCTCTCACATGCGCTGCACTCTCCCCAAACCTTGCCACCCACTGCCTGGGGCTTCTCCCCCTCCACCCCCTCTTCCTCCCTGCAGCTACAGCATAGTGCTGTTCGCGGGCGTGGCAGCGGAAGCCATGCAGTACGGGCAGGCGCAGGGGGGGGAGGGCGACGAGAACCTCTTCAAGGCGTTCCTCAGCAACCTCACGCCCTCCTGGTCGGGGCCCCAGGTGCGCGTGCTGTGCTGCACCTGCCGTGCTACATGTGCTGTGCAGCGATTCCATGTTGCATTCGGACACATGCTCATCTTTGTGTCACGTACGTGCCACACTGTCATTGTGTCATCTGCCTGTCAATGTCAACGCCCTGCTCTCACCGTCCTCCCTCCTCCCCCTCACTCCTCTCCCTTCCCCCTCACTCCCTCCCCCCAGATGGCCAACCAGGCGCGGTGGGCAGTGCTGCAGGCGTTCCTGCTGCTGCAGCGCAACCGGGCGGCGCACAGTGCAGTGGTGGAGGTGCTGAAAGCGGGGGGCGGCATGGGGGACATCGTGATGGCCATGGAGCGCAACATGGCTGGCTGATACGTGCACAGCACACTCGGGGTCAAAAGAGGGCTGGCGGTTGGGGAAGGCTGTATAATGTACGGATGATGTGTTCTCGTTTTGCAAATGTTTGATGTGCACCGTATATATTATTATGTGGTTCAAGTCCAGCCAGCAGGAGTGGAGCAGCTTTCCAGACTCTGGAATCCAGAGGGATGATTGACAGATTTTGGGGGTTATGGTATGAAGGACACCCTGCACTGCACAACTGTCAGGGCTCTATGCATGGAAAGGAAACACAAGCTCAGCCTAAGCAGGGGGGTGTGGTTCAACTCTTCACGAGCTCCCCATGTGTCATCGTGGCAACTGACGCATCCACGGGCGGGCAGTACATTTCTCGTCGCGCCGCTACAGCCGGCCTCACAGCACAAGCAGTAGAGGTAGAGGCGAGGAGTGAGGAGCCAGAAGTGTGATGGCAGGCGAGGAGAGCAGCAGCAGCAGCGCGGGAGGGAGCAGGCGTCCGTCCCACCCTCTGCGCCACCACCACTGCTCCCCCACACCCACCCACGCCATCCCCCCCTCCCCTGGCTACTGCTGCAGGCGGGGCGGGGGGCGGAGCCACTGCTGGATGGGCCCCGCAACCTTCTCCTTCTTGGCCTGCACACGCTGCAGCCGCGCCACATACTGCTCGCGCTTGGCGCGCAGCCGCGCCAGCTTGCCCTCGATGCGTGCCAGCTTCTCCCGCACCTGCTCCTCCGCCTCCCCCCATTCGCCCCCCTCCTCCTCCTCCTCCTCGTCCTCCTCCCCCCCTTCCCCCTCCGCCCCCGCCCACCCGTGCAGCTGCCCCTCGTCGTGGCTCATGCTGCGCTGGCTGTGCCTTCCCCCATGCCCGCCGTGCCCGCCGTGCCCCCGCGCCTTTTCCCGCGATCGGCTGCGATGGGCGGAGCGGGACTCTCTTGGGGGAGGGGGCGCGCCCGCCAGGGGCATGTTGAGGGGAGAGAGGGGCGCGGGAGGCGTGGGGATGGGCGGGATGGGCGGGATGGGCCGCGATTGCTGTTAGGGTTGGGTGAGAGGGAGGGGGCGGGGAAGCAAGGAGAGGGAATGGGGGATGTGGCGGGGAAGGAATGAGGCGCGGAGGTCATGGAATGGCACTCACGAGAAAAATGCGCGCGCGCGCACACACACACGTATTGCATTCCGCCTTCCCTCTCCCCTGCTTACCGAATTTCCTTCGCCCGCGGCCGCATTGTTCCGCCCTCCGCTTTCGCCATGCGCGCCACTTCCGCTGCCCGGCGCTGCTCCGTCGCCCGCCTGTGGCCACCCGCTAGGCGGCCATTCCCCTGATGCGGCGCACCCCGCCGCCTCCCCCGCTTCCCCAGCCGTCGCCGCCCGCCCCGACGGCGATGCTTCGCTGCCCGAGCTCGCGGACACGAGCGCGGGATGCACGCCCAGGGAGTGCGCGAGCGCCGCCTGCGCGAGCATGGGCATGTCCATGTCCATCAGATGCGTCTCCGTCGCCACGGGACTCAGCGCGTTCGGCGCTGACAATGTCGGCGCCAATTCCGGGCTGACCGCGCCGCTGTCGAGGTGAAACGGGCTGGCGGGCACGCTGGCCTGCTGCTGCTGCGGCAGCCCGAGCCGCGTCTTCTCGCGACTGCCGTGCGACAGCGACCGCGCCAGCTGCGGCCGCGGCAGCGCCGCTAGTTGTGGCGATGGGTCCATCCGCTCGCTGCGGCTGCACTGCTGGCCGTTGGATTCGACCGAGTCGCTGTCAACACCGAGCGACGACTGCGCCTTGGGCTTGCCGCGGCCCTGCAGGCTGCGCAGCGCCTTGCTGAGGATGCTCCCCTTCAGCTTCCACGACGGGCTGCGACTGCCGCCGCCCGACCCCGCGGAGTTGACGCGCGCGGCTGCGCGCTCGTCGACGGGCGCGGGGCACGGGCAGGCTGTGTGGGCGGACGCCATGGGGGAGAAGGCGGAAGGGGCGGAAGAAATGGCGCGTAGGTTGTCGGATTCGAAGGGGGGAAGGCGCCGGTTTGTCGGTTCGGCGGAGCCGTCGCTCCCCATGCACCGAACGGGGGAATGTGGTGCGCCTGCCGTGAAAGTGCGCGCGCAAATTAGACAATTTATCAAATAATGCTTCAATATGTGCCCAGGTGCCCAGGCGAAGGAAGGCGGTTGCGAAGAAAATCGATGAGACTCGCAGCGGATCGCTGCGAAGGTGGGAGAGCAATGCGACACAAGCTCATGCGCGGGCGACGACGGGGGTGAGCTGCGATTCGGGCAATGCCATTAGCACGCACATGCGGCGCACGGTGCTTCGAGCTCGTCCTTCTAGGAGCCTACTGTAGTCTGCTCGGCGAGAGGAATAACCTAGGCTGCACGGAGAAATGCCGGAGGAGAGGACAAGAATGGCCAGAGGCGAGGGATGGATGTTTATGCGCATAGGGCGCACCCTACCAAGCAGGTCCCTTGCTGGGGTGTGCTTTCTTGCGATGGGGATGGGTATGGGGGCAGCGGCCAGGGGGGCAGAGCTGCTGCTGCTGCTGCCTGGGCTCCCAGGGCTCTGCCCAGCAGAGGGTAAAGATTAGGTCGTGTGCGCCAATCGTGCGGTTGAAAATCCACAAGGTGCGGAGAGATGCCCATGGAAGATGGGGGGAAGGGGATTTGCTTGCTGGATGTCGTTGCGCTTGGCTCTCCGCCTCGGGCATCCCACAGCTGCGCGCATTTCTCCCCGCCCCCCACTCAATTCAAGCTCAGCGGAGAGACACATCCTGCCCGCTGGGGCGCTGAGGTTTCAAAAGGAGCGGATGAGTCTCCCGCTCATCCCCCCACACACCTCTTCCGCGCATGACCCAACCAACAAGCCCCAGCGCTTGCTGCCTGCGCGCAAGTAACCAACCAACCGTACGGTTGTCTCCCCCATGGCCCATGCCACGGACCAGCGGCAGAGACGGGATCAGTAATTGATTGTATTTCCAATGGGGATTTTGGAGGATACCCTATTGAAACTACTACATGCTGTCATTGCTATCAGTAAAGCAAGGTCCACTTCCCAGGCAAGTTCCCAAACTACACGGAACTCCTGGTGCGAGAAGAAGAAACGTCGAATGCACTTACCGCGATGCGAAGAAACGAGTGTATTCGCGCCACAATAGGTACACTGCGTCGCAGAAGTGAGGTGCTTTGGTCGTTTCTTTCCGTCCACCACACGTCCTCCTTTTAGTTTGGCAGCCCGGGGTTTCCCCGAAGTAAACGACAAAGTTCGGTCCGCAGGCTGAATGGCACCTGTTCTGTACAGTACAACCAAATCGGCCTCATAGACTAACCTCATGTTCTGTAGTGCACTGTACTGAGTCCATGTTGACACAAACACAGAAATGGGCTTCGCTCGGTCAACGATTATTGTTGACTCAGAACGCAGGTTACAGTAGAGAACCAACTGCACAAGAACCACATGGCTCGATTGATCCTGTAGGCAAACAAATCAAGCCCAACCTCGGGCGGAAAACTTATGATGTCAGCTTGCGGTACCATCCGGTGCTGCCCAACCTCGGAACGGTGCCGAAATTATATGGTCGCTCAGAATATGTGACTTGTGAAGCTAGCATACCAACGCGTAAATATCAAACTAAACCATCAACATAACGTGTCCTACTCGTATTGGCTATCTAATCTGCCCAAGTTGGGACAATAATTTTATGTTTAGCATACGAATTATTCATATAATTATATAATACATAGCCATATAGACATACAGTAAAACGAATAAAATTGGTGGTTATTGATTATTTCACCACCAAGAGCCAGTGGCCATTGCTGTCAGTAGTATGCCTCCAACCCACGCCCCTTTCATCTGCCCAACAGAGGAGGCACCATGGCATGTGCCATTAGAATTGGCACTCCCAACCCTCCCCCATTCTCCGTTGATGTCACACCCCCTCTTAGTGCTGCTGTATCTGCTGTTGCAGCAGCAACTGCTGCACCAGCTTTCATCTCACGTGCTGCTGCATGCCCCAAAGCCTCCGTCTCACCATCACCCCCACCCTCGCCATCACTACCTCCACTCCCGTCCAAGCCACGGCTCAGCGCATACCCACAGTGGCACACGGGGCCAGCACAAGAGCACCTGTGCGGGCTCGCGAGGCTCAAGGCAGGAGGGAGCGGGGAAGGAGGGCCGCTGAGTGATATGGAGGGAGATGCCGTGGAGCGGGACTTGAAGAGGGGCGACAGCAGCGTCGAGGACCTCAACGATCCAGGCCAGAAATCCAGCGATCTCGCCTTTGCAGGGGACTTCAGTGCTGCTTCGTTTCTCCGTGCAGCAGCTGCAGCTGCTGCAGCGGCGCGTGCCGCCATGTCTGCATATGGCTGGCTCGTCTCGTCCATGGATCTCCGCCTGCTCGTGTCACCACCACCACAGCCGTTGACGGTGGTCCTCTGGCCCTCATCCAGCGATGACCGCCTATCCGCTGGCTGTGACTGGCCCTGCTGTGACTGCTCCAGCAGCGGTGCCTCGTCCCTTGTCCCTTGAGCCACTCCTGCCTTGCCAAACTTGCCGGGTGGCGACACAGAGGGGCGGATGGCACGGGCAGGGGGCGAGGAGGCCACGACTGGCGCAGGAGCGAGAAGGGCGGTGGTGGGATGGGCGGTGACGGGCGGATGGGCTGTGGTGGCAGCGCTGTCGTGGCACACCATGTCTGAGACCCGTGCCAGCAGGGCGCGGTAGAACTGGTGGGGTGGAGCAGTGGGGGAGCGGGAGAGGAGTGAGAGGTAAGCGTGAGAGGAATAAATAAGAAGCGAGCACGAGTGGGAGAGGTGGCAGGGCAGGGCAGGGCAGGGCAGGGCGCACCTTGTGGAACTCTAGAGTGTCGCCGGCTGCCTTGCGCGCCTCCACCATGAAGAGGCCCGTTGTCATCTCGAATATCTGCATGCCACACACACGCGACACGGAACGACCATGGCTAAGGCCCCAAGTCATTTCAAATATCAGAGGCCACCAAAGAGGGACGAGAGTCAAAGACTTGGCTGGATGTTGAGTGGCTGAACATGTGCCGAGGGGAGGAGCGCAGGGGGGAGGAGCGGAGGGGGGAGTTACCTGGACGACCACGGAGAGCTCTCGGCCAGTCACTGTTGCGGGGCGGGAGAATCGTATCTTGAAGTGCTTGGCGTGGGCGTCGGCTTGGAGCGGCGGCGCGAGGGCGAGGAGGCGCGAGCGGATGAGGGCGGGCGGCAGGCGCGAGGCGAAGCGGGTGGGGCGCAGAACGGGGTCAGCGCGGCGGTGGAAGAGCACCCCCAGATCCAGCGCGTGCGCACGCGCTATCAGGTCAAAGGCGTTCAGCAGCTCCGGACACTCCTGCACCGCACCTTCTCCTCCTCCCTCCTTCACTCCTCCCTCTCCTGCCATATCCTCCTCCCCCCCGTCTCCCCCTCGCTCCCCCAGACTCTGCGCGCTCCCCTGCGTCTCAAGTCTGCAGGAGGAGCACGAGGGGGAAGGGTGGGTCAGAATGGGGACGTCAGCAGCAGCCGCAGCAGCAGTAGCAGAGGGAGGTTGGCGGGGGCTAGTCAACGCGCTGCCGCCATTACCAGAGCCAAGGCCGCTGCCGCTGCTGCTGTTGGTGGCGCGGCTGAGAGCACGCGGCGAGAGCACGGAGCAGGAAGGCCCAGTGGAGAGCAGGGAGGAGGAGGGGGCCGTGCTGGCGTCGGAGGAGGGCGAGGGGAGGGGCGGCGAGCACGAACGGGGGAGCGACTCGACGGCTGTGATGCGGAGGCCGGCGCTGAGTTGGGAGGGCGGCGGCTGTGGCACAGCCGGCAGCAGATGGTGGTTGGAGAAGACGGCGTCGATGTCGCATGTGTGCACCGGTGCCTCCGGGCTCGGCAGCGCGGGGACGTACCCCGGCTGGAACCACGCGTGGCGCCGGATGCCCGCCAGAGTGAGCCGCTGGTGGGAGGAGGACGTGCGGGGAGGGGGGTGAGTGAGGAGGGAGAGGGGTTAGAAGGTGAGAGAGGGGGAAAAAGAGTGCGAAAGAGCAGTTACGGAAGCCGCAGAGGCGGTCACACACCCCTAGAGTCACCTCAAGTAGCAGTGCGCATGTGCGCGCACCTTGGCGGGGTCGGGCTGCAGGATGGCGGAGATGAGGGCGCGCGCGGACGGGGACACGCACGCGGGGAAGGCGAAGAGCCCCGAGCGGATCTTGCGGTAGAGGCGGTGCAGGTCGCGGTCCTGGAAGGGCACGTGGCCCGCCAACAGCACGAACAGAATCACGCCGCACGACCACACGTCCGCCAGCCGCCCGTCGTAGCCGCGGTCGTGCAGCACCTGGGGTTGGGGGGGGGGGAAGTGGGGGGGAGAGAGAACAGGGTAGGGGACAGGTCAGCAGATGAGAGTGGGGTGCGGGTGGCGAGGGGTCGGCGGCGTGGCGAGCACAGGACACTGGACGTGGCGAACGTGGTACAGCGGCAAGAGAGGTGAGCGGCGTGGGCCCAGTGGGGTCCAAACGAGGGGGTGCGGCGCACCTCGGGGGCGACGTAGTTGGGCGTGCCGCACGTGGTGTGCAGCAGCCCGTCGCGGTGCTGCTGCTCTGGCAGCGCGCTGAGCCCGAAGTCCGACACCTTGAGATTGCCGTGCGCATCCACCAGCATGTTCTCCGGCTGATGCCGCGCGGGAAGGGAGAAAGACGGACGGAAGAGCGGGGAGAAGGAAGAGCATGAGAGAAACGGAGAGTGCAGTGAGAGAGAGAACGACGGCTAGGTGAAATGAGGAGTTTATGGAAAAGGAGGGAGGGGAAGAAAACAGATTTAAAATCCACGGAAAAGAAGAGGAATAAAAACAAAGAAAAGAAGCAAGCAATGACGAAACAATATAGAAACGGGCATACTTTAAGGTCCCGGTGGCAGACCCCTTTGGCGTGGCAGCAGTCGACGGCGTCCACCAGCTGCTGGAAGTAGCGCCGCGCCTCGCTCTCACCCAATCGCCCGCGGTGAACCTGCGGGCGCAGCGCAGCGATGGCGGCGGAGAGAGGGAATGGCGAATTGAGGAGGGACGAGTGGCATGAGAAGGGGAGTGACGAGAGAGGGAGGAGGCGGGAGGGAGAGAAAGGAGAGAATGAGTAGGAAAAAGAGGAGAAAGATTAGGAGGAGAGAGTTGAGAGAAGAAACAAGGAGCAACCCATAAACGGCAGTAGGGAGTCACAGAGGGCGGCTGCGAGCATCTGATGGCGGAGCATCATTGTGCGCCAGCTCCCGCTCCACACTCTCACGCCTGCCCCGACCTTCTGTAGCACTCACAATACGGTCGAAGAGCTCCCCGCCGGCCGCGAATTCGAGCACCATGTACACCTTGGACTGCGACGCCATCACCTGCCACGTGGGATGGGACACATGCGACACATGCGGCACATGCGGCGAGGATGAGGAAAGAGGATGAGTGAATGAGGGGTCGAAATGGGCGGGGGGCGAAGGACGACGAAACCGAGGGGGGAATTGGTGAGGCGAGGTGAGGATTTTGCAGAGCATGACGATAACGGCTCCATGTGAGAGCGCTCTACTCGGAGAGGCACGGGGGGGAGGGGGTGCTAGTGGGGGAGGCGCACCTCGATGAGGCGCACGACGTTGGGGTGGCGCACCATCTTCATCACCGTGATCTCGCGCTTTATCTGCGAGGCACCACGCGGAGCGGGGGGACATCATCAGGCGCGTGGGAGGCGGAACGAGATGCTCGGCTGGTGAGGTTTTGCATGTAACGAGAACACGGTCCACCGAATTAGCTTCCTCCTGGCGAATTGCCAGGGCCCGGGCGGTGGGTGCCACCCGACAGCTAGACGCGAGCTCTACTGAAACTTGATCCTGGCGGGGTGAGTACCTGGTCGGCCATCTTGTGCTTGAGAATCTTCTCCTTCTCCATCACTTTTATCGCCACCTGCTGCATCGACTTGACATCTCTAGCGAGTTTCACTTTAGCGAAGCTGCCCTGGCCTAGAGTCCGTCCCAGCTCGTATCGGCCGACGATACGGGGTTTCGATTTCGAGTGGCTACCACTAGCCGTGCTACTCGAAGGGCCTCGGCTTCCCATGGCGTTTAGAAGAGCCGCCTAAACTCGCATGGAGGTCGTCTACGACTCAAATGTCCGCCAGAAAGGAAATTCAGGAGCAGCCACGAAGGTACTGCGAGGGAGTATAAGGGAGATAGACGGCGCGATTATGCGACTTACGTACAATCGAATTCACCAGTCCGGCCGAAGTAACATCAGCCGTAACCAAGATGATGATGACGGACGGGTCGAGTGAACCTGCGCAACTAACGCCGTGATTTTTTCTCATTCCACTGACGTCTGATTTCGACCGATCGCATCCGACCGTCGCGACAAGTCGCAACAGTACTTTGATGCGTATGCGATGCGAATGAAGCCTCCTAAAGCCACATTCTGGCAGCGCCAAGCATTCGGAATGGCATCATTGATTTGGCATTGGCAGGCATGGCATGGCAGCCGCCATGGTGAGAGGTGCTAGAGGTGGGTGGGTGGATCAGCCATTTGGGTTGAGCAGGGGCTGGTTGGGCGGGCTGGGCTTTTGGACTCACGGCTCGTGGATCAGCCCCACAGGCCTAGGGCAGCTGACTTTCTTGCCTCGTTGCCAGGCAATGTGCGGCGCGGGCTCGCTGAGTTTGATGCCGCCGTGGCAAAACGGAGAGGCTGACGTGGGAGTGCGAGGCGCCACGTCATCAGTCATTCCTCCCAGATCGTGGAGAGTACAGCATTTAGTGCTGCCCGGACGAATAGCGAAAGAGGAGGACGTGCGTCGGGCACGAACAAAAGCGGCATCTTTGGCAAAAAGAGCATCTTTAGTAGGAATATTCCTCGACTTGGCAAGCGAAGCAGCGCCACAACACCGCGGAACGGTCCTCCAAACCAAACCCTGGAGCGTTGCAAATCTATGGCAACGACATCAGCTGCGTATCTCAGCAACTTGGGATACAGTTGGCATCCACAATGCAAAATAATGATCATAGAAGAAGGCTTCGAAATTTGAGCTTCTCACAAAGTGCTCTCATCATATAGATAATAGTGAAGCTCCAAACCAGGGCGTATGCTAAGGGTGTATTCCTACTTTAAAGCCCCAAGCTAAAATAGCAAACCCACTTTCAAGTTGGGGCCAGCTTGAGCTGAAAAAAGGACTTCAGTTACTCTGGAAAACAGGGGTCTTTTTCCGGGCAGATGGATTCGTGCCACCATATTGGGTTGCAAACTTTGAATCGAAATTGGGGTCATGCGATGAAAGTTACTGTACATGTTTGTATGTGCGACAATTTCACTCTGATAACGTAGAACCCGACGCACGAGAGTGCGATGGACGAACTGCAGGAAGCCGAGTGCAGAGAGAGTGGGACACCGTGGGAGAGAAAGGGACAACGCGGGAGAGAGAAGGACGACGCGACAGAGAGGACAGCGCAGGATAGAGAAGGACGACGCGGGAGAGAGAGGGACGACGCGGCAGAGAGAAGGACGACGCGGCAGAGAGGACGACGCAGGAGAGAGAGGAACGACGCGGGAGAGAGATTGACAACGCGGGAGAGCGATTGACGACGCGGCAGAGATAAGGACGACACGGGAGAGAGAGGGAGGACATGGGAGAGAGAGGGAGGACGTGGGAGAGAGAGGGATGACGCGGCAAAGAGAATGACGATGCGGGAGAGAGGGAGACGACGCGGAAGAGAGAGGGACGCTGCGGGAGATAGAGGGACGACACGGGAGAGAGAGCGACGAAGAACGAGAGTGAGTGGCGTCGAGAAAGAGAGAGTGGCAGCTAGATCTCTCTGACTTAGACAGCTAGCTCGCCACATGCTTAGGCTGCTCGCTAACCATGCGCCCTAGGCTGCTAGATCGCCAAGCGCCTCGGCAGTTAGCACGCAATGCGTCGAGTGAGGTAGATCATCGTGTGCCTAGGCAGCTAGCTCGTCGCAGTTAGCACGCAATGCGTGCCGAGTGAGGTAGTTCGACGCGTGCCTAGGCAGCTAGCTCGCCGCAGTTAGCACGCAATGTGCTTAGGCTCTGCTAGCTCGCCATGCACCTAGGCTGCTAGCTAGCCATGCACCTCGGCGGTTAGCACGCAATGCGCTGAGTGAGGTAGATGGCCGTGCGCCTAGGTTGCTAGTAGCACGTCACGCGCCGAGAGAGGTAGCTCGTCGTGCGATTAGGCAGCTAGGATGCCGTGCGCCTTGTCGCCTCTAATAAGCCACCTAAATGCAAACCTGGGCCCAACTTGAAATCAGGTTGGGTCCAACTCCTTCTGCGATTGAGAGTCGTGCAAACGACCCTATGCGGTGTGCACGTCGTCTGCGTCAATTGCACGTCACGCTCGTCGTTGCGACGCCGTGACTAAGATTTCGTTGCAAGAATGAAATTTCATGCAGTTCTGTGCGTTGAATTGTCTGCTATAAGCAAATGCTCTTCATTTTAAGCCAATTATGCTCTAGCAATTTTTTTTCTTATGCATGCCAAATGCACTTTCGGAACAAAATCGTTTCGGACGAAAAACGGGGGGCCACAACACTTAGTTGATTTTTGCAGCTTTCTCTTTCAAGTTGGGCATGCCTTTGCTATTTTAGCTTTGGGCTAAGTGTTCAGTACCAAGACAATCAAGAACGAGTCTAAACACCTTTCTGAACATGCTGATCTGCAAGCTACTGTTCAGATTCGCGAGTATCGCACATGCCATGTGACTGTAAGAAACTTCGTGTGTACGACACTATGATCTGTGCATCATGCATGTGCGCTGTGTGACCCTGAGACTTTTTGGGCCCACCAGTAGACATCTCTGTATGTGACATTGCTGGTATTAAATATGGTATTCTATTACAGGAACGATGTTCAAAGTCGTTCTTGGTTTGCTGATAGGGAAAACTATATTTTAGGAATGCGTCATAAGGATTTCAAGTACTCCATTTTTCCCATAATGCCCCTCCCCCGCACTATGCTTCGTCTGAGTTCCGAGGTTGTCGAATCCTGTTATGATAAAAAAATAGTTAGGGAGTATACTTGCGCACAAAGATTAGTACGAGACTCGTGCTGAACCAAAATGAACCGCATTGAATCGCAATGCCAACACTAGCATCGCACAGTAGATGTTAGCTAACAAACACCAATACGAGAGCCCACATACAGTTCCTTGACTATCTGATCACGTAGAAAGGGAAAGATACTCAAGATGCTCATGAAGGTGCGGTTAGCACACAACGAGGCACACTGTGGGGCAGAGGGGGAGGTCTGCGAGTAGCAGGGTCATTTGGATTGCCCCTCACCCCTCCTTTGAGTGAGTTGTACAACTCATCTGCCTTAGTTATGTTGTTGATGCAAACTTCGGCAAACCATTCTAAAAGGCGCGATGCCCTATTCCGGAAGCTCGTATGAGTGCTTCCGGATGTGCAAAATTTCGTACACGTAGTCCTCCCTCACATCCGTAACGTTAGTGAACTAGAGGTCCTGCAGGAAGTTGAGGATGCTCGTAAACATCCCGACACTACCACGTTGCCCGCTGAGGATGCCCCAGCTGCCTCTCTAACTTTTCCGAGTGTGTCAGAGACCAAAACTGTCGAGACACGCGACGAGGATGCGTGCTCGACCGACTTTTATGGAATAGAAGAGACTGGCTGGAAGGAGTGGGGGGATAAGTGGGGCAAGGAATGTGACGAGAGAGGGGGGGGGGGGGGGGGGGGGGCATGAGTAGGTCAATGCTAATGTGGAGGAGGAGAAAAGTCTGTAGAAATATCATTTTGGCAGATTTGAGTAGCGACAAAGAGAAGTATGAAATGTTGGGCAGCCCCAAGGGATACTACCCAAAAAATGCTGCCCAAGGGATGCTGACCAACCCATACTGCCCAATGCATGCCGCCCAAGGTATGCCACCCAGGGCAAGCTGCCCAAGGCATGCCGGCTGGGGCATGTGGCCCAAGCCATGCCGCCCAGGCCATGCAGCCCAAGGCATGGCGCCCAGACTGTGCTGCACAAGCCATGCTGTCCAAGACATGCCGCCCAAGCCATGCCCCCCAAGCCATGCCACCCAAGCCATGCTGCCCAAGCCATGCCGCCCAAGGGATGCCGCCCTAGGCATACCGCACAAGGCATGCCGCCCAAGGTATGCCGCCCAAGGCATGCCACCAAGCCATGCCGCCCAAGGTATGCCGCCCAAGGCATGCCACCAAGCCATGCCGCCCAAGCCACACTGCCAAAACCATGCCGCCCAAGCCATGCTGCCCAAAGGATGCTGCCAAAATGCCGCCCAAGCCATGCCCCCCAGGACGTGCCGCCCAAGCCATGCCGCCCAGGCCATGCTGCCGAAGGCATGCCACCCAAGCCATGCTGCCCAACGCATGCTGTCCAAGTCATGCTGTCCAAGCTATGCTGCCTAAGGTATGCCTCCCAAGCCATGCTGCCCAAGGCATGCTGCCGAGGGCATGCTGCCCAAGCCATGCCACCCAAAGGATGCTGCCCAAAGGATGCTGCCCAAGGCATGCCGCCCAAGCCATGCCGCCCAAGCCATGCCACCCAAACCATGCCGCCCAGGCTATGCTGCTGAGGGCATGATGCCCAAGCCATGCAATCCAAGCCATGCTGTCCAAGCCATGCAATCCAAGCCATGCTGTCCAAGCCATGCTGCCCAAGCCATGCCACCGAAGCCATGCTGCCGAAGCCATGCTGCTGAAAGCATGCCGCCCAAGCCATGCCGCCCAAAGCATGCCGCCCATGGGATGCTTCCCAAAGGATGCCGCCCAAGGCATGCTGTCCAAGGCATGCCACCGAGGGCATGCTGCCCAAGCCATGCCACCCAAAGGATGCTGCCCAAAAGATGCTGCCCAAGGCATGCCGCCCATGCCATGCCGCCCAAACCATGCCGCCCAGGCCATGCTGCCGAGGGCATGATGCCCAAGCCATACAATTCAAGCCATGCTGTCCAAGCCATGCTGCCCAAGCCATGCCGCCGAAGCCATGCTGCCGAAGCCATGCTGCTGAAAGCATGCCGCCCAAGCCATGGCGCCCAAAGCATGCCGCCCAGGGGATGCTTCCCAAAGGATGCCGCCCAAGGCATGCTGCCCAAGGCATGCCGCCCAAGCCATGGCACCCAAAGGATGCTGCCCAAGGCATGCCGCCCAAGCCATGCCGCTCAGGCCATATCGCCCAAACCATGCCGCCCAGGCCATGCTGCCGAAGGCAAGCCGCCCAAGCCGTGCTGCCCAAGGCATGCCGCCCAGAGCATGCTGCCCAAGCAATGCCGCCCAAGCCATGTCACCCAAGCCATGATGCCCAAAGGATCTTGCCCAAAGGATGCCGCCCAAAGGATATCGCCCAAGCCATGCCGTCCAGGTCATACCGCCTAGGCCCTGCTGCCCAGGCCATGCCGCCCAAGCCATGCCGCTCAGGCCATGCCGCCGAAGGCATGCTGGTCAGGCCATGCTGCCCAAGCCATGCTGCCCAA